GGGCACTCACGTGAGCACGGGGATCGGCGTCCACACGACGCAGTAAGGGAAGCGGCAGCGCTCGGGATCCAGCCCTGCCCCGCTGACGCCGCCGCCGCCGACCCCGACCGCCACGACGCCGTGGAACTGCTTCATCTTCCCCTCCGCGGCCTCCTCTTCCTCCATTACCGGGAGGCGCGGAGGCGGTGGGTGACGTCACTTCCTGGATACGGTCGCCTCGCTTCCGGGACAACTGAGGAGGGAAGCGGGCGGCCGGGTGGCCGGGCTGAGCTCTTGAACCTTTCCCTCTTTTTTTTAACGTAGTCGGTGGTCGCTGAGGGAATTTCGGGCCTGGTTTTTCCTAAATTACCTCACAGGGCAGTTTGGAAAGCAAAAGGGGGAACGATGAGGAGCCGTCAATGTTTTCTGGAAGGAAATGGCAGATAACTAGTTTCCTTCTGCAGAGCAATGAGTTGGTGGATTGACCCACAAATTCATCTCTCGGTTCATTTTCCCAGCCTTTCAGCCCTAGTTTGGGGTGGCTGAAGCCGTTACAAGATGGCACGTATCAATTTAACAGTTTTACGCCATTTGGGAAGAAGCTCCTGAAGTACATGCATTTTAGGTTTCTCTTGTCTGAAAAGTGGGACAAAATAAGAGACAACGTTCACCTCCTTTGTAACCAGGGAACATGTTAACCATTGGACATTTGGAAAGTGTAACTGAGATTTCATCTACATTTCAGTCCATTTAATTCTGTCTCTTAATCTCTGACAAAGCGGAAAGCGTACATTAAAATATAATGGTTAGTTTTTAAGGCGCCACTTGCTTCTGTGTGTTTGTGTTTTGTATTGTTTTGTTTATTTGGATTTAGTCTGATAATTAGTCTAATAATTTAGGCTTCTTATCTTAATAATGAGGTCTGTGGTCTTGGAAGAATGCAAAGAGATTGTTTCTGTAGTCAAAGAGAAAACATTTGGAAAACTTAACGATTGTTAATGACAGACAAGACCTAAAAGTAAAAAAGGGGGTAAAAATAGAATCAGAATTCTAAATGCCGCTTTTCAGAGACTATCATGTAAAGATGAAGAGAGCTGTATCAGTACAAAGACAGAGAACAACAAAGGAGAAAAAAACCCAAAGATTTTGCCTAAAATCCAAGAAATCAAAAGGATATTTAAACCTGGATTTACACTTGCTGAAATATTCACAGGGGGATATACTGTCTGAACAGAATAAAATAAAGATTAGGGGAAATACAATGAAGAACTATGTAGAAGAGATACAAGGACAACAGTTTCTTTTGAAGAAAATTCCTTAATGAAGAACTAGCAGTTTTAGAAAGTGAAAACAAAGCTGCTGTTAAAGCACTTGGATGAAACTATGATGAAACTAGAAAAGATCCTCAAGTGTTAAGTCATGTGATGCTGTAGTAGACAAAATATTGTTGTACTGTAGCGTGTTCCCTGTTGCTCTGTATGGATATGAAAGCTGGACAGTGACAAAAACTCACAGAAAAAAATCAATTCATTTGAAAGGTGATGCTGGAGGAGAGTTGTATGGATGGACCACTAGAAATATACGTATAAGTGGTAGATGAGATCAAGCCTGCAAAAATGATGAGACTCTCATACTGTTGACACATTAAAAAAACAATGCTAGCAAATGTTAAAGGCAATAGGAAAAGAGGAAGACCAAATAGGAGGTGGATTAACTCAGTGAAAAAATCATGGCCTTGAGTTTGCAAGAGATATGTGGAAAGCTGTTCATGACAGGACATTTTGGTTATCACTCTTGAATAGGATTGCCATAATTTGGAGTTTACTAGATAGTGAATAACAACATTTGGAACTTTTAGATCAACCATTTGTTTTACTTAAACTGGGTTCTACACAGTTGTTATTTATTTATTTATTCAATATGCCACCCACACTACCCAAAGGTCTCTGGACGGCATACAGCAATTATAATACAGTTAAAAGGATAAAACAATTAAAATATATACTCTAAAAATTGCCATCAGGACCCACAGATGATATTATTTCAATTAAAAGTCTTCTGGAGCAGGAAGGTTTCGACCTGGTGCCGAAATGGCATCAGCGTTATGGGTATTTCTTCCCCATGCAGATGATGTGGGGCTTGTTTTGATTCAGTCAGTGACTTCCTAGGTTGTATTTAACTCTCTGTGTTTTAGTTTTCTGTTGTTCTGGAAGACGGTGTTTAGAATTGTGGTGCTTTGAATTGAAGTTTCTGTCTGTTACAAGACCTTTGTGGTCAGATGTTTTCAATTACCATGTTTCCCCAAAAATAAGACAGGGTCTTATATTAATTTTTGCTCCAAAAACACATTAGGGCTTATTTTCAGGGGATTTTTTTAATGTACAACAATCTGCATTTATTAAAATACAGTGATATCATTTTCTTCTGGTTGCTGCACTGTGGTGGAGGGTGGGGTTTCACTTGACTGGGGCTTTAACAGTATGTTTAACAGTTTCATACCAACGTTAGGCCCGAATATCAATTTGGTAAGCTACTGTGTGGGTCATCCGTATGGACATCTGTCATGGAAACTGGAAATGAAGATTTTAAAGAGCAGAAATTACACCACTGTAAGTGGTATCAAGAAATGACATTAATAGATAATATTTTACTGTGTTAGGAATATAGGTACCTGAATAGATGCCTATTTTGAATGATGTTTTCCTCCACCTTTTAAAATTAGTAAAATCTGCACATACCCTTTCCTATGCCTAGACAAACATACATGACAGTATAATGATTGAGAATAGCCCAATAGTGTGGGAAGTCTAGAGTGAAAAGTAATCTGTCACACTGTAGTGATAGCATGATGAGCTTTCTAGAGAGAGAGAGAGAGAGAGAGAGAGAGAGAGAGAGAGAAAGCCACTGCTCTGGGCAGTTTACAACAATTTAAAATTACACACACATCACCACACCAAGGAGAAGAAATAATGTTAACAGAACTCCTCAAAGGCAACAGCTAAACCAGATAAAATTAACACAATGTGCGTTAATAAATCTCTCACAAAGGATGGATGTTCCTGAAAGCCTCTTTAGATAACTTGGATTTAAGCCACTCCCTGAAGAGAGGGAGTTTGGTGAACATCAACAGGCAACAAGTTCCAAAGCGGTGTGGCAACCACTGAGAAAGCATGGTTCCTAGTACTAATTTTCTAGGCCTCCTTTGGGGTGGCCATCCACAACAACAAAGCTTGGGAATAATGGGTGGTCCTGGTAGAAGATCCTAAGGAGAGACACTCTGACAAGTAACGAGGTCCCAAACTTTGAATCATGATAAGGCACGAGGTATCTCTTTTCATGCTAAGGGCGACAGGGTGACTTTCAAGTTTTCAACAAAAAATGTGAGTTTTTAAATGCAATTGGGTAACCCAATATCTTCATTTTACCTACCTTTTGTCAGAACATCCATTTGGGGCATCACTTCATTTCTTAACTCTACATTGCAATGGTGGCAATGATGATGTTGTTGTCACTCTTTAGGTCGCACTCTGATAGTGGCACTTAGTTGAAGACCATTGATTTGGGCAAGAGGACCATCTGACAAATACTCTGGGCCCTTTTTTGAAAGGACCCTATCATAACCATATTTATGTAGCATTTTAGTGTACTCATAGCCCCAGTGGTGGGTTTCATTTCCTCATAATTACCTTCTTGAGTCCCACCATTAAGAGAACAGAGGTTTAAATACATCTGTGGGTGTGATGTATGAAAGCAATCAGAGACTGGCATGTAAACTCTCCTAAAGAATGAGGAAATCCTGGCGCTGGTGGGATTTAATTTCCTAACCCTTGAGTTGGCCAGTTAGCAATGGTGATGGGCCTTTGCCTTTTTGATTCCAGCTGCAAATGCAAGATGCAAACAGCATCTTTTTTGTGGATGCTGCTACTAATTAAGCAATATTAAGGAGGATTCTTGCAAGAGTTGTTCAAATCTCTTCCAGTTTGGAATGGAATCACATGCACAGGGTCTCCCCATTTAATTTTTTTATTTTTTAAATTCAATATTTACAATCTAACTTCTAGGGCTCTTGTAGGGATGATTGTTTTCTGTCATGCTAGTGATTGTAATAGAGAGAGGTATAAGCCAACGTCTTGATGGACTAGGTGATGCAAGCTAAGCATGAAAGCAGTTATTCTCTCTAGCACGTATTTATTATTCAGTGACTATTCTGGTTAGGGTATTCCAAGAGCTATAGTCTCCAACGTACATGGGTTTAAGCATGGCAAGAGACAAACATCTGGTACTCAGAGCCACCTGAAATGAGTTGCATGTTTTAGGGGTTTTGCATGCCCTAGAAGAGATTCCTGGTGACCAGGTGTGTGGCTTTCCAGATGTTAGCCCTAGTCAGCATAATCATTGGTGAAGAATGTTGGGAGATGGTGTCCAAAACATCTGGAGAGCTGTATTTTGTCCTCTGTTGTTTTAACATGTATCACATTACAGACTCAATTCTTTGCACAGAAGCCCATTCAGTGGTGGGGATAAAGCAGGAAAATCTCTGTGTGTTTGTATAAACAGAATTTCATGTGTAGTTAAGCAAACAGAGCGATAGTCAATCAATAGACCTAACAGAATAAAAAGATGCTGTTTGGAGAAACATCTCTGTGGCCAGCATTACTATTATCCCAAAAAGTTAAATAGCTCTGCACAAGATTAGGGTTGCTTCCCAGATACAGATGCTTGAGACTAACCCGTCCTTAGCAAGAAAGCTGTACAGATCTAAAACAACAATTAGGCATCAGTGACCAGTTCCTGGTTGCTTAGATAACAGTTATGAAGAAGTGAAGATATATGTGGTTACCATAGGCCCCTGCTTTGAGGAAATATGAAAGAAAAACTGAACAATTACAGATTCATAAAATAATGGAGTAGGAAGAGGCCTACAAGACCACTGAGTCCAACCCCTTGCTTAACATAGGAATCAAAATCAAAGTACAGTATATATGATATGATGGGTGTCTAATTTTTTTTCAATTCATCCAACATAGGAATGCTCATCACCTCCCGAGGTAATTCACTCCATTATTGTACTGCTCTAACAGCTAAGAATATTTTTCCTGATATTCAACCAAAATCTGGCTTCCTGTAACTTGGGTTCATCTTTATGTGTCACTCACTCTGGAATGATTGAGACCAGATCCTACCCCTCCTCTGGATCTTTCAAATATTTTAAGAGTATTTGCTTTCATATCTCCCCTCAA